TTGTCTCCGCAATGGATAAGGATGGGTTCCTCCTTAAGTCACTACAGATCTGATTTGATGGAACTTCATGTCTATAGATTAAATTCCTTTCATATTATAAATCACTTTTTAAAAATCATCTTTGAAAAAAATTAATAAAATTTGAGATCGTTTAGTCATCAAACTGTATAAAAACTAATGGATGGATTATATATGCTACAATTGATTGACTAAACAATCTTAGTTTTAATTAATGTTTTGTGGAGATGATCTTTACAGAGAGCTAGATTTATTATGTAACATCCCACATCGCCCAGGGGAGTGATCCTTATATGTATATTCTCATCCCTACCTAGCACGAGGCCTTTTGGGAGCTCACTGGCTTCGAGTTCCGTAGGAACACCGAAGTTAAGCGAGAAATGGGCTAGAGCAATCCCATGATGGGTGACCCACTGGGAAGTTGCTCGTGAGTTCCCAAAAACAAAACCGTGAGGGAATGGTAAGCCCAAAGCGGACAATATCGTGCTACGGTAGTGGAGCGGGCCTGGGAAGTGGTCCGCCCCGGGTCGGGATGTGACAATTTGGTATCAGAGCCTAACCCTGGCCGTGGTGTGCCGACGAGGACGTCGGGCCCCTAAGGGGGGTGGATTGTAACATCCCACATCACCCAGGGGAGTGATCCTTATATGTATATTCCCATCCCTACCTAGCACGAGGCCTTTTGGGAGCTCATTGGCTTCGAGTTCCGTAGGAACTCCGAAGTTAAGCGAGAAGGGGGCTAGAGCAATCCCATGATGGGTGACCCACTGGGAAGTTGCTCGTGAATTCCCAAAAACAAAACCGTGAGGGAATGGTAAGCCCAAAGCGGACAATATCGTGCTACGGTAGTGGAGCGAGCCCGGGAAGTGGTCCGCCCCGGGCCGGGATGTATATTAACGATTCTAATTATAAATATAAAATTCTATGAATCAGTCACTAAACGAATTGAGAGGAAACTCTTCAATCTTGAAAATCCCATCATTGCTAAAAAAACAAATTGACAATAAAAGAAATTATAAACTATTGCAAGATTTTTATCCATCAACTCCGGCATGATCTGCACATCCTCACAAGTAGTTGGGTGCATTATATATAAAACAAAATTTCTATCCATCAATCCACAACTCCTTTAATTTCTGCCTTAATATTAGCCAACACGGACTGCTTATTAATTCTGAATCCATTGCTTTTAAAATTAGATGGATCCAATGATCAGAAAATGGCAAGTTTGAACCACAACTTAGGTCAGCTTCAACATACATATATATATATACATATATATATATATACATATATATATATATATATATATATATAATCACTGCAATCACATTCCAAGTTAGGCAGATCGAGCCATGAAATAGTCAATCATCCACAGCTTGACAACTTCAAAATAGAACCACTGATAGTATAAATGGAGATCTTCATCTTCATATCTCTCAAAGCAAAAGTTTACTTGCATATATATTGGTCTTTAATATTTTCAATCAATTCAGCCGACCTTTGCCTAACTCAATATTTCTTATATGGTGATATAATTCTCTCATCCTGGCTTCTGGACCAACCCGTCCTTGCCACATATGTGTTTCTTTTCACTACCACATGTTGCAACGAAGGCAACCGGACCCACGTAAACAGTCAAACCCTAGAGATGATTAATTAAACGAATCCAGTTTTATTATTCTTGTTCTAAAATCAGGGCAATAATTTTCAAAAGAGAGACATACCTTATTCGTGGTTGGTTTTGTGATCAGGCGCGGCAGTGTCCATTCTTTCATTCTTTCATTCTTGGCACATACGTGGCGTGATGTGCACACCCATGATTGGTCCATTTTTGAGGTGACCTACATGATTGAAATACCACGGACAAGCTAAGGGCATGCGTGTCCAGTCGTGGTTGGAAGTTTGGAATTGTTTCCTGAAAAGGAAAGGCCAGTTTCGCTAATTGTGCAAAAGTTGAAAGTGAACGTGGGCGTGCATGCATTCGATATACAGATTGAGATTTTTATTTTTTGAGAAGAGAAAAATAAATAAATAGTCTGGCGAAACAAATACTTCAGAGACTTCCTAAAAAAATAATAATCCAATAATTGGAAATATTTTAGCACCTCAAAATAGTGCTCAATCTCTCATTTCTCACTTATTTTGTTTATTAGAAAAAACCGTAAGATTACTATTTAGAAGTGTTAACGACAAGGTACATTATAATTCTACAAATTAAATGATTTTATGTATGTTGGATTCGTCTAATTAGTCAACTGTAGAAAGTAAAACAAAGATATATAGGCCTTTTAAGTTGATTAAGATTCAAATTGGCCAAGAATGCGAGTTAATTAAGAGTCCCTCAACATGAGTGATCAAACAATTACATAAATCCAGATGGCCTCCAGAGTCAAACTCGATTAACCAATTGGTTTTAGTTAGACAACATGAAATTATCATGATATTTTTGCTGATTTGATTTCAACCTTAGAAATACCATAATATTTGACCTAGTCTTAAATTAAATATGGTGATTAATAGTTAAGAAACGAATAAGTCAATTTCACTTACTGAATTGCCATCAAAATGGGGAACTGGATCCTCTCCTGAGCTCAGGATGGGGATCCTTCTGAGTAGCCCATCTGGGCCGTTGAATTTTAATTCAACGGTTCCAAACAGGGGGCCCCTCTAAAAATTATAATAATTACAGCTGTTGGATCAAGTTTGAAAGGTCCGGATGGGCTGCTCATGAGGATTCCCATCCTAAGCTCAGGAGAGGATCTAGTTCCTCAAAATGGAGCTATATTTGGGCTAAATTGTAGACTGTTTGCAAGTATTATGTAGTGATCCCTATCAAATAGGGAAATGTTTTGGGGAGTATGCAAGGAATACGGGGTGGTATTTCATATATCATTATATAAATAGAGGAAAGCTTTATTTTTCAAGTTTACCACCACTTGTGTAATGACATGTGGTGTACCATCCCGTGTTCTAGACACTTAAAAAAGTCTCTGTAAAATATGTGATCATATTAAATTAACATACATGCATCACTTGTACAAATTAAGCATTATTCAAGATTTTTATGAAATAAAGTCAAATCAGAATTCAAAAAGCAGGTTTTCATTTAACCATAAAGGAAAAATTACAAACGTTTAAAGGTTCATATAGTTGAAATTGCACTAATCTTCTTAAGAGAGAGGACAAATTAGCTTAATTAGATACATTAACAAATTCATTCAAAAATTTCTTTCACCTAACCACTAACCACTTAATGGCTTTAATCACTTCAACTTTTACATGCATCACCCTTGCAACAAGTTGGAACTTTGATTAATTAATATTATTGTTGCCAAGGAGACATCGTATAGTAGTTGTTTTTTTAACGAGAAAACTGTCATAATATGATCAATCTATCATTAATTAAGGGAGCAACTTGATCATATTTTACACGAACTCACTTAAATATGAATCTGAAATCTCGTTCGACACTAATACATTAGTATCGCTAGACAATGAACTAGTTGGCAAATAAATTAGGATTCTGATTACAAATAATACAATTTAATATTTAACAGATTAAAAATCATTCACGTCTTGACTACATGGCTCAAATTTGAATTCTGATATTTGACTTAACCTAATTGTTATCATTTTCAGTGATAATTGCACGAAAGTTTTTGCAGTGTCTGTTTCGACCGGAACATATTCCCTCTGGATCCGAACCATCCGGATCCTCCAGACCTCATAATTTTGGTCGTTCACGTAAAATCGTGCGGCTGAGGTCACTCTTCCTCTTCAACTTTTCATCATCTCTTTCCCTTCAACATCGTTGCCTTCTTCTTCAACGGCGATCAACGAAGCAAAACTGTAGAAAGAGAAAGAAGAAGAAGAAAATGGAAAGGGGATGGGGAGGGGGAGAGGGAAGTGAGTGATTGTAGGGAGGTCCGCATTATCCGGATGGTTCGGATCCGAAGAACTATTCCCGTTTCGACCTTATCTTCCTCTGTTTTTTTTTTTTTTTTTTTTTTTTTTTAATTTTTTTAATTAATTATATATATATATATATATATATGCTTTGGAAAAAAAGGGTCATAGAGGTCCTTTTTGCGTGAATATAGTGTGCTTTGTCTAATTTTTGAGAGCTGGACACAGCAAAACTTTTGTAATCTTCTATGCATTCACACAGCTGGTATCACTATATTTGCATAAAATATGTATTTATTTTTGTGAATGCCCTAATTTTATTTCAGCAAAAACAGATTATATTCCAATCTTCTTCTAAATGCTTCACACTTTATTTATTTATTTTTGTCACTCTCTTTGTGACTTGTGCTGATGATTCAGGTATGCAAATATGGAACTAGATCCTTTTCTGAGCTCAGGATGGGGATCCTCCTGAGCAGCCCATCTGGACCGTTGAAATTTGATCAAACGGCTCCAAACAAGAGGTCCCTCTAAAAATTATAATAATTGTAACCGTTAGATCAAGTTTGAACGTCTCGGATGGGTTGTTCATCCTTAGCTCAGGAGAGGATCCAGTTCCTGCAAATACAAACAAACATCCAGTAACATCCGAGTCCTATCCACTCATCACAATGAATATAATTGGTTGAATTAAAATATAGTACAATTTATTAAAAAAAACATACAATTAAAATTTTAATAACTTTTTAATTTGCCAAGTAAATTAATATTAAAATCAAAATAAAGTATTCACAAAACTGAAACATTGTAAATTGGTGAATCAAAACAGAGTTTTAAACTGTTAGATTTTTGAACTTTTGATCAAATAAAAAAATGAAAATCTTGACCTTTCATTATTCGGTGCAGACTATACACCGTATGTTTGGAGCATAGTAAAATTTTTGTAAACTACAAAACCAAAACATATTAAATTGGTGGTAATGAAATCAAAACTACATGCATAGTATTTGAATGGGTTGTTTGTTTAAATGGTCCAATTTTTAAGATGGGGGTAGAATTATTACAGAAAAAGTTAAAGAGAAGCTAAAACGGCCTACCTAAGTTGCCTTCCATTCCACGTTTCTTGCTCTTCAAAAGCACCAGTATTTAGGGGCTTCTGCTTCCCATAGTGCTTTTCTTTCTCTTAACATCTGAATCCATCTTTCAGCTTATACAACAACTTGTTCCCATGGCTTCTTTTCTTTTATTCCTCTGTATCCAATTACCCGTTCCCTTTCCTTAAGCTTTATTTCTCTTTTGCTCCTTAGAAAAGCACGTTTTGCATGAGTCTTTTCTGGTTCTGCTTTCTATATAAGGTGTTTTAAGATCTGGGAGTTGAAGCTGTTGGTTGGAAGAAGCCATAAAAGTTTGAGAGTTTGTGAGGAGTCTACCGAGGGTGGATTGCGAAAATACTTACTTTTCAATCGGAACCAAGATTTCGAATCAAGGGTTTTAGACAAGAATCATTGGGGTTTTAGGGTATCATAAAAGGAAGAAATGGAAAACGTTCCAGCTGGGATTGTTGAGGAGGATGATCAGATCTATTTGCCGCCGGGATTTCGATTCCATCCAACCAATGAAGAGCTTATTTCTCACTACTTGCACAAGAAGGTGATCGATACCAGCTTCTCTTGTAAAGCAATTGGGGAGGTGGACTTGAACAAGTCGGAGCCTTGGGAATTGCCTTGTAAGCTTCCTAGAACAAAAACTTTAATTTTGTTTTGTTTCTATAACACAATCCTTTTTTATCAAATTTGTTTGGATTTTGTTTGTTTTGATTTGATTTACTTTTTTTTATATTTTTCAAATGAAGGGAAAGCGAAAATGGGAGAAAAGGAGTGGTACTTTTTTTGTGTGAGAGACAGAAAGTACCCAACTGGTCTGAGGACAAACAGGGCGACAGAAGCCGGATACTGGAAAGCTACAGGGAAGGATAAGGAGATTTACAGAGGAAAATCTCTGGTTGGGATGAAGAAAACCTTGGTTTTCTACAAAGGAAGAGCTCCCAAAGGAGAAAAAAGTAACTGGGTGATGCATGAATATAGATTGGATGGTAAATTCTCTGTCCACAACCTCCCCAAAACTGCAAAGGTATAGTCATTCCCCTGTTTTCCCCTATTTTCTCCTGTTTTTTGGAGTTGGATCTCCCTGCAACGGGGATGTCACTGTGACGGTATCTCAATTCGAGCATGTGCTGCTGTATGCGAAAATTAAAGCGCATGGCAGTGTGTAATTGACTTGGAATACTACCGTAGTAACATCCCTGGTGTAGGTAAGTTTTTCTCTGGATTTTGCTTTTTTTAATTTGTTCATGTATTTTGATGGTAATGGTATTTGTGCCTTTTTTTGTGTTTCACTTCGCAGAATGAATGGGTGATCTGCAGGGTTTTTGAAAAGAATTCTGGTGGCAAGAAAACCCATTTTTCTGGATTTGTGAGTTTGGGTTCTCTCGGAAATGAAATCGGTCCTTCTGGCTTACCGCCATTGATGGATTCTTCGCCCTATAGCGACGCCAAGGCCAAACCTGCTTCCGAGTCCCATTACGTGCCCTGCTTCTCCAACCCTGATCCCACTGATGTTCAAGGAAACCAAGGGAATATTGTTGATTGCATGAACAACAATACTCTCTTTGGTGTTTCTTCAAACACTTCAAACTCTTTCCCAATAATCCCATTTCCCAATTCATTCTACTCTGCTCATAATGCTCCGATTTCACCGAATTTTCAGTTCCCGTGTTCAAATTTACTGCAAGATCAGTCCATCCTGCGGGCCTTGTTTGAAAACAATGCAGCGAACATGAGGCAGCCTAGCTTCAAAACAGAGAGAGAAATGGTGAGTGTGTCCCAAGAAACCGGCCTCACAAGCGATATGAACACTGAAATCTCTTCGGTCATGTCAAATCTTAACATGGCAAGAAGGCCATTTGGTGTTCAAGATCCTCCAACTGCAGCAGCAGGCCTGGATAATTTTTGGAATTATTAATAATTTCAAACCAGCAAAATAAGGCTAATATATAGTTTTATTATTAAAAAAAAAAAAAAATGCAGCTTCAGCTAGTATTATTGGTGTGAGTTGATAGTGTACAGATATTCTGAATTTAAAGTGAATATTGAATGAAAGTGAAGCATATAATTATGTAATGCAAGAAATTATGTGATGTATTTGTTGTTCTATTTAATTTTTGTGTAAAAACATTGTTGGTGACATATGAGAATTAGATTCAGTTGGTGGTAATGATTTTATTCGTGTATTTTAGTCATTAAAAGTTTGTATCCTTTCTTAAAGTTTTCTGGATTTTAACGAACACTTACATCACGATTTTATAATCTAATTTTTTTTTAACTACAAAAGAAATATTTCAATTTGAACACAAATAAATGAGCATACTACCCTAATTAACTTCGCTATGTCAAATCAAGATTTGAACTTAAATATAAATAAATAAGTATACTGCCCTAATTCGCTACATCGAATCTCCCTAATGAGTTTTAGTATTCTATTCCATGAGTTTATAGTGGGGACTCAGGTAAGTATGCTATTGACAATTTCATTGTCTTTCTTTCAACCTCTCCTTCTCTCTATCACACACACATGTGCATGTCACACTCAAACACAACCATGGTATTTATAAAATTAAAATGTTAGTTATCCAGGTAAAATCATTGGACTAAGGCTTGACATAAAGTAATTCTGTCATTTTATAAATTATAACTTTCTTTGATTAATTAACTTTGACTTGCATGCTATGAAATTTGAATTCATATATTTTGTGATGTTGAAATGTCAAAAATCCTAATCCTCTATTTTATTGACCATGTTTTCTAAACAACTTCATTAGAAAATAAAGCATAATCAGTTCATAAACAAAATTCGGGATGCTTATATATAGGGTAGTGCTATCACACATGTCTCAATTTTCTATCGTCGAATCGAATGAAATAAAGAAGATTAATGGCAAAAAATTAACAAGGGTGTGTGGAAGGTAAATTTGTGTGTGTCAATAGAATAGTACTACTCTATATATATATATATATATATATATATATATATATATATATATATATATATATTCACACAACCATTTTTACCTCCCACATACCTTTGTTAAGTTTTTGCTATTGATTTCTTCAACTCATTCGATAGCTGAAAATTGAGAAGAATGTGTGAAAAGTAAAAAAGAGTGTAGATAGCACTACCTAATATATTATTGTTGAACTGCTAATTTGAAACACACATTTTAAACAAAAATTCCTCTAATACGTAATTTAGGTTGATAATGTCACAACAAAGGATAAAGTACGATATTTAGTCAAAATGATCTCTGAGATTGAGATAACTTTTTACTTGTCCTTGATAAAGAAAATTGATAGATAGAATGGTCCATGAATTTGTCTAACGTGAATTATTATGATTTTTTCATGAAAAATCTGTTAATATCTTTGTTAAGTGAAAGGGTTGGTTTGATAAAAATTATCCTTAAAAAGGTGGTCATGTGGTCGTTCACTTGACAATTTAACGAAAATATTTACAGATTTTTCATGAAATGACCATAATGATTTATAGTGAACAAAGTAAGAAGTTATCTCAATCTCATGAACTATTTTAGCTAAGAAGGCAATAACCATGTCAAATTGTTTGATGAAAGAACAATAATCCTCTTAATTAGTGGTGATTAAGAGATGTTGAATTATTAATTCCATGACTATTTGACTAATCAAATTTCTTACTTTCTTGCTCAAGAGATATTGAACCAAACTGCAGGAAATATGCAATTAAATGAAGTATTGAATTGACAAATATTGCAAGAGAACAAACTTACTCATTACCCTTAATTGTTATGGATTACCACCAAGTCATAGTTGAATGAGTGAGATTTAATTTACCCGCACCTGAACCTTGAAATTTAAATTCACCGAATGCATATAATGTAATGGTAGCTCACTCCCAAATTAGAGACGATGAACAAATTTATTCTATGAATTAAAATCATGGAAGTCTAGTGGAAAATGGACATTAGAGAAACTATTGTGGGCTCGTTTGGATGTGCTTTTAAAATGACTGAAAGTGTTTTTAGAAAAAATTGTTTTAGGTTTCCAAGAAGTATCAGTTATGTGCTTCTTCCAAGAAGCACTTTAAGTGTTTTTTCAGAATTCACTTGTATTTTTACTAAAGATTAGTTCTAAAAACATTTTCACCAAAAACACTTTCAATCATTTTAAAAGCAAATCCAAACAAGCTCTGTAGCTCATTTAGAAGTGCTTTTGAAGTGATTAAAAGTGTTTTGTGAAAATGCTTTTGAAACTAATTCTTAGTTAAAATCCAAGTGGATCCTTAAAGAACACTTTAAGTACTTCCTACGAGAAACACATATTTGATATTTTTTCAAAAAATCATTTAAAGTGATTTAAATATTTTGAAATCCAACATCAATTTCACCAAACACACTTTTAATTATTTTAAAATTACATCCGAACCATCCCTTTAATTATAGGAAAATAAAAAGGAAAACAGCTGTCCAGATTCATCAAGTTCATATCTCAGGATAAGAATTCTAAAAATCCAGAAAAGTCTTGTTACAAATATATTTTTTGGTAACAAAATCTTATTATAATAATATGAAGGAAATCTAGGTCTTATGTAAATATTTATTATCTTTCGTTTTCGTGGAGTCTTTCAACCGCAGAATTCGTTAATATTGGACTAATCTTCAAATCTGTCTTTTCTAATATTTTATGAATTGTGATGCATGCAATCCGTTTATCAAGCTGTAAACCCTGACGTATTAATGTACGAACGTTTACCATTATTATTTATTTATTATTAAGTAATATTTTTGTAACATGTGAAGTTTTATTTTTATCACATACGCACAAGCAAATCTCCAACCACGAATGAATTTGAGTCCTGCACGACAAGTTTCATTCTCATCAGTAAATTTGTATTTTAATATATAAAAAATGGAGCTATTCCCAAAAGTAATCATCCAATAGAATCAGGTTCCCCCATATACTGAACAATATTTTCTCAGGCTACCCCTTCATCGACACAATGTTATTATCATACTTTCAAAGTGTCATATAAACTCATTATCCAAATATATTAATCAACACGGAGTGGTTCAGTAGTTGATGGTGAATTTCAGGCTCATATTCTATACGGCACATCTTAAGTCGATTTCTGACTCTGGTGAATCACACGATAGTAGCCAAGAAAGGCTGAAATGTATCTGTGAGTTTTTTTAGTCCCAAAAAAGTGGACTGGTATGATGAAACCACGATTTGACTCTTTATTTATTTATTTATTTTTTTAAAAGGCCTTTTGAATTGGATTATTATCATTCATGCGGTTAACCATATTATATATACACATCAAGTATTGAGCTCCTATAAGAAATATAATCTTTAGGGCCTATTTGTTGGGCTGGTTGAGATAGATTGTAACAAATTAAAATGGAATTGTCTGGTCCGTTGTTTGTTATGTTAAAATGTGAGATGGATGAGATTAGACATAATGAGTTATGAATATAGAGTAGGTTATCTAACCTATGGATATGCACAGGTTACAAGTCCTGCCTAACCAATCCTAGCAAATCCAATCATATCCCTAAGGTCAAATCTCATCCAACATACTAAACAGGCTCTTAAAGAACAAGAAATTTAATTTACAATTAATTACACTTGTGGGGCAAGATATCGCAACTAGAATTGTAAGTGTATATGTGTGTATTTTGTTTTCTAGATCTAGACGTGGATCTAGCCACACAGATTGAGGCTTTGGTAAGGTTTGCGACGAGATAAGGCTAAGGATTAATATATTATTGGAGATATTTATAAATATAGAATCGCATGTAGCATATTCCAGTTAAAATTAGCATACTTATACCAATTAAAAAAAAAGGAACCTTGGCATCTCTTCGTATCCTTAATGTGTATTAAGGGAAAGATTTCTATATTTTTATGTTAGTTAACCTAGTTTTTTTAGATCGAATATATTTGATTGTTAATTATTAATTAGTTTGTCTACCCAAACATTTGATAATTGAACCTTGTGACAATGAACCCATATTTCTAGGGCATTTTGTACCATGCCACCTAGGCACTATTTTCTAATCGTGTACATCATGATGGGGTGGTGGTTTTTTCTTCGTGAAAGTATTTTGGATGCGTTTGTTGTATCGAACTATCTCGAACTGGACTTACTTTAAGGACTAAGCTGAATTGGCTTAGAATAGACTAAGTTAGACTAACTTAATAAAACGTTTGGTACAGTGTCGGACTAAGAAGCGAGACTAACTTCAAATTCTAGTTCAATTCCTAGCCTTCCAATTAAATTAACAAATTTCCTCTATCTTTGCACAAAATTTTCCACAAATTTCTTGAAGATTTCAATATTCAAACAAGAACAAATTTTTGCATAAGATGATAATGAAGCAGGGATCAAAAACATTGACAAACATTTCTATCATTGTCGTTCGCTGGAAACCTCAATCTTCAAATTGATGGAGAGATTAGCCAATCTTGAGTGGCATCTCTTCTGCGCAGGACAATCAGTTACCCAGATTTGGTTCAGACAAGGAAATGGCAGGGCATTGTCAATTTGTCATATATACTCTTCAACACCGATAGTGATTGCAAACACAAATCTGTGATTATTTTCCTCCAAATCAATTATTTTCTCCATTTCAGAGCTTAAGCGGCCGAGATTGGGCGCTGAAATCAGCAACTTCACGAAGCTGCAGACAAAAAGAAGAACAAAAATTGAATTTAATATCCATTAAGATTTAGAATCCAGTCGTTCAATTTCTGCTTCTGCAAAGTTATAAACTTTTGATTGAATTTGTTTTGAATCAGAAAAGGAAGAAGAGGTGGAAGAGATAATAACCTTGAGTCGAAGATAGGCTGGACTGGAGAAAGAGAGCTTGTTCTTTGCCGTCGATCGAGCGAGGCGAGGAGTCGAGCGGGACGACGCGAGAAAGAGGTAGTCTTAGCAGTCCGCTGGTATTTGGGGGGCTTCGCTAAGACCAGCTAGAGAGCTCCTTAGTCCATGTGAGTGAAGTTTAATCCCGCTAAAGCTAGTCCATTCCTTTAACAAACATGAGACTACACTAATTCTTAATCCAGTTTAATACAGTGAGACCTAGTGAAGGCAAACAAATAGGTTTTGCAAAAACCGTATTTAAATTTAAGGGCTTAAATAAGATTAGTTTTTTATTATAACCCGGATGGTTTCATAAA